GAACCACAATAAAATGACATAAGCTTAGAAAATCACTCATTTTTAATTGTATCAACAAAGATAATTTATAATTTTGATTATGCAAGCATTATAATTACTGATAATCGAGTCTCTCAGCTTTTAAGTGCCTTTTCAAGCATGAGCTCTGCATATGGTTGTGCAGAAATCAAAATTTTAAAGAGAGATGAGTCAAGTCAAGTTTGTTATATTAGTCTTATATTCTCAATACTTTAGATGTTGATTGGTGCTCTGAATGGTTGTGGTTAGAAATCTTGTTGGTATGATGTATCAGTGATGTCACTGCATTGATGGAGACTACAGAATAATACGTAATGGTGCAATGTGGTGATGGTAAGCTTTGTTACTCAATGTTGTCAGGCACTTTAAGAAAATTAAAAACATTCATGATAGTGCCAGTTTTTGAAGACTCTAAAATCATGTTCAATTATATGTGTACGTCATTATAAACATGTGCATCATGATTGACTTTGAAAAGAATGCAGCGCCTTGCAAGTGCACTATTTGAATAGAGGTAAGGAGAACTACAGTCTAAGGACCGTAAAAGTCTAGATGGAGAAGACAGAAGCAATGACACTTGTTTTCTCTATAGAACAAATAAAGAGGCGAAAGACAACAAAGTTGTTCAGTGAAACTTGCAAAATAATCTAGAGTGTAGGGTAAGTTGTATTAAATGATGAAAATTAATATGTAACTGTATAGGTAAACCAAATCATTTGTATCTTACAGTTTTTTTTGGTAGCTAGGGATATTATAAATGGGATAATCACTAACATTCTAAATATAATGTTTTCTAGTAAGTACATTTTCCTTTTTTCTTTCTTTCTTTTTTTTTTTTTTTAATAGAGACAAGAGTCTCACTCTGTTGCCTAGGCTGGAGTGTAAGTGGGACCATTATAGCTCACTGAAGCCTCAACCTCCTGGGCTCAAATGACCCTTTCACCTCAGCCTCCCGAGTAGCTGGGACTATAGGTGCACACCACCACGTCCAGCTAATTATTGTACTTTTAGAATCATGATATGTAGCAACCAATCTGGGAATTATTTGTTCATAAACGATAACATTTTCCTGATAACTCCAACCTCAGAAAAAAATGTATTATGCCTGACTCAAATATGTTATTATTTTTACGAAAAAAGAGTCATATTAAAGCAATTATGTCTATACATAATAATTATCATTATTTGAGATAATTTGCATTGGGGAGAAAAGCAGGCAATTAGAAATTACATATTCAAGGCTGGGTGTGGTGGCTCACACTTGTAATCCGAGCACTTTGAGAGGCAGAGGCAAGCGAATCACCTGAGGTCGGAGTTCGAGACCAGCCTGACCAACATGGAGAAACCCCGTCTCTACCAAGAAAAAACAAAAACAAAAACAAAAAAACTCCACAAAATTAGCCAGGCATGGTGGCACATGCCTGTAATTCCAGCTACTTGGGAGGCTGAGGCAGGAGCATTACTTGAACCCAGGAGGCAGAGGTTGCGGTGAGCTGAGATTGTGCCACTGCACTCCAGCCTGGGTGACAAGAACGAGACTCCATGTCAGAAAAAAAGAAAAAAAAAAAAAAGAAAAAAGAAGACGGTGCCACTGCACTCCAGCCTGGGTGACAAGAACGAGACTCCATGTCGAAAAAGAAAAAAAAAAGAAAAAGAAATTAAAAAAAAAAAAAAAGAAATTGCATATTCAGGTTCTAGCAAATGCAGTTCTCTAATAAACACTAAATAAATCATAATACAAGTTACAGTTAAACCTAATTGTTTTACTATATAGGATTTTACTATATAGGATGTATCTTTTTTGTACATATATTTTATCTTCCTTTGCTTCTCTGGCCTCTATCGGTAGGCAGCATGGCAGTGAACACTCCAGGGGATCTTTCTGGTTTTAGGTAAACCTGAGTTTTAAATTTGGTTCATATCACCTTTTAACTTCGGGCAGTTTGCTGAGCTTCTTTGTTTTTGGTTTTCATTCATCTGTCATGTCAAGATGGTAATAATTCTGCCATGATTTTGGTTTGAATATTGAAAGACATTACATAAGCAAAATGCATAACTCATAAATATTAGTTCCCTTTCCACTATGTATCCAATCTCCCTATTAAGCATAAAAATAATAATTTTTTATTTTGTTTTATTAAGTCTTCAACATTCTACGTATAAAAGGGATTTTTTAAAGGTGTTTTAGATAAAAAAATAAGTTTCAACTAACTGATCAAGAATATCTCTTCATATTTATATCATCTACATAAAAACTTACATTTATATCAGATATCTTTTAGTCTTTTCTATATTCTTGATTGTCATGTTGTACAGCCAGAAAAAAATGAGTAAAAATTATCTAGATTTTTTAAAGTGCATATTCCAACATAACAAATCAAATTATTTTACCTATTTCTTAGTATTAGGCTGAGACCAATAAGTCCATGAGCTAAGGTGTTGAAATTTGGTACCAAAAAAGTGATATTTATGAGTTATGTAGATTTATACTGAGAAAACACCATGTCTTCCAATGTGAAATACACTAAAACCTGATCTGTTGTCTCCTAAGGTATGCTAGGTGAATGCAAAAAATGATTAGGAAAGGAAGTGAGGATAGGTCAGGAAAAGTGCAAACCCAATGTTCTACTCATAAATTAGTGATGGCCTATTTAAGGTTAAGTAGTGAAAAATATGGGGGGCTCCATTAACACAAATGAAAAAATTCTTAAAGTAACCATGAATTATTTTGATACCTTGATTAATGATACCTTTCCTTCTGTACAATTTCATAATGAGGGAATACAGATTAGTGGGGATTGTAGTGGTATACACTGACTTTGCTTCATGATATCTCAAATGTTTAAAACTTATTGTTCCCCAGAGGAAGAAATATGTTCAGCATTAATTGTTGCAGAGGCGGAAGCCAAATATATCTCCTCCTCCATTTATGTGACTAATAATGAAAATCCTAAGTTGATACTCTTTTCTCAATCTTGAAAAGATTCTGCTAAAGCAGCAAATCTTCAAACAAGTTCAAGAGGGTGGGGAGCGTGAACAAGTAGAATAATTTATATTACCCTGGAACAATTCTGAATCCTCTAGGTATGTATGTCACTGTTTCATGTGTGTTCTGGTTTAAATGTCAATATTTATGCATGGCAGTTAACATGTGTGCATATTTGTAACTCTGTGCAGTGCTACGGCCAGGTGTGACTGTACAAATCATGTGCGTTGTATGTGCAATTTTTACTTTCTTTTCTAACAATTTAATACAATCAGCGTTAGAAATAACGAATGAAGGCTGGGCGCGGTGGCTCAAGCCTGTAATCCCAGCACTTTGGGAGGCCAAGACGGGCGGATCACGAGGTCAGGAGATCGAGACCATCCTGGCTAACATGGTGAAACCCCGTCTCTACTAAAAAAATACAAAAAATTAGCCGGGCGAGGTGGCGGGCACCCGTAGTCCCAGCTACTCGGGAGGCTGAGGCAAGAGAATGGCGTGAACCCGGGAGGCGGAGCTTGCAGTGAGCTGAGATCCGGCCACTGCACTTCAGCCTGGGAGACAGAGCTAGACTCTGTCTCAAAAAAAAAAAAAAAAGAAAAGAAAAGAAAAGAAAAGAAATAACAAATGAAGACAACCAAAGAGCAGCCAGACTAATGTGAATTGGTTTTGACGTGATGAGAAACTGATAAGTAAATAAACCTCCCTGGAGAAGGCCACTGAAATGCACCCAGCAGAACGTCTCTACTAGAAGGTAATAAAAAATATATAATATAGCCTTTGACCTAAAACCTCATGATTATTACTTTGCCATTTATTTCCCCCTGGAACATGATATTCATATTAGTTTAATGTACCTTTTCAGAGAATTCAAGACACTTTTTGGGAAATAGAATTTTTTTTGTTTGTTTGGAAATTTATGATTGGAGAGGTACTACACAATTTAGGGATTACACTTCTTGACAAATCCGAGTTGAATAAAAAAGAACTAAAAATATAAACATAGCTAATTCAAGAATCAAGATTGGGTGAAACTAAATTAAAAACAGCCGTAAAGTCCCACATTTTTTCCTACTTTATTTACCTATGATATTGGCACATCTTGTTTTACTTAACATTTGAAAAATACAAGTATCTCTTCATATGCAAAAGAGCAAATGTTAAATGAAAATCTGAATATATGTATATAGCTTCCTAAATATGAGCCACATGCTTAAGCAGTGAATTAACTTTATGAATCAAATCTTTAATGTTAACTATTACAAAAGCCTGGTATCCAGGTGCAGTCTTACCAGAAAAAAAATAGCACCTGCCTTTATTACAAAAAAAAATCAATGCCTAATTTGCTTTGACATCTTAGGAGTGACATGACACTGCTTTAATAGTCAAGCACTAAATACTTTTTAAATTAATCATAATGTTAAACTTCAGATTTATAGATGCAAATATATTTATAGCTTTAGTCATACTGTACAATTTCTTTCTTGTTTAAAAGTACTTTCTCACTCAAAATGGTATTTATAGTTTAAAAAGAATATGCCTCTGTATTCAGGAGTGATTCAGGTTCCCAGATGTTTTCACATAGTTATGAAAATGGGAAAGTGCTGAATTAACCTGGGCTGCAATATTTCAAGCTTTTTGCTATCAGGTTATAAACTATACATACAATTGCAAGTCATACAGTGCCTCTCTTTCTAGAAGGCTTTTTACGTTTCCTGGCTTAGTTATGTCCAAAGGCAGCAGGAAGTACTGCCATTCTTATCCTAGGAGACATTTCCAGTGGTTGAGCACAAGGCCTGTTTGTGGTTTCCTTTTACTGTTGCATTTTGTGGAAGGGAGGGAGCTGAGACAGCTTAGAGAGTTCATTAAAACCACCTCTCACTCTTAATTGTAGTCAGATGAAGTATTCATAACACTAACCTCCAATTACTACTATGTGTTGGGAAAAATTAGAATTCGGTCTACTTACAATCCTGCCAACTAGGATTTTACTTTGATATTTCAGTATAACAGCGAATCTGGATTGAGGCCTGTTTAAAATAAAATCCCTGATTATTACTTTCTGGATTACGAACTAAAATCCTTGTAAAATCAATGGATGTGGCTCATTGTTAAGATCGTGCAGACTTTTACATGTTAGGTAAGAATTCTAAAAATTATTTGAGGGTTTTATTGTCTAGCACCAGGTACTAATGCCTCCTACTCAAAAAAAAAAATCATGCTCATGGATTAATCAAGTCTAACAGTGCTCAGATTTAATGGTTTTACATTGATTTTCTTTTCTTTGTCAAATTTACATATGCAAATACTTTTATAGCAGTCAGATATATTTTTGAATAAGGATCACCCTCATTTTTACCCATGTGCTTATCTTTAAAACTAACATTGTAAAGTAGCACACAGACATATGTTTCTTTTGTCTTCATGGATTTTTTTACCTTAAAAATAAATTATCACTTCTTTTTAATTTGTTTTTTATTCTCCAGACACTCTGTGTACATGTGGGTAAGCATGTGGGAGTATGTGTGTTTGTGTGTAAGAGGAGATAATTAATTGTCTCTCCATCTCTATCTCATACATTAATATCAAGCAAAAAAATGAAATGTATTAAGGATCACTTTGTAGGATTAGGCATCCTCCTTCTACCTACTTAAACCAGGGGTTTGAAATTCAGAACTTTCCACATAACCAAGACCGAAAGTCACTGGGAGACTTTAAAATTAGTATTTTCACCACCACATCCAGAGTCAGTTATGGAAATAAACCTGTAGCATGGATTCTTTCTATGCATAATCTCAAAATTTACCCAAATAAGTTTTAAAACTAATTTAAAATTTGCCATTGAGGAAAATATCATCTCCATCCTTAATTGTGACTCCTCATTTCAGTTAAAAACTTTTCCAATACTTTAAAAAAACAAAATGAAACACAAACTGCTAGGGAAAGCAATAAACACTGAAATCAGAGATGTGATTCTTGTTAAATATTAGTTTCTCTTTCTGAGGTTACACTCGGTGGATTTGAAACTTTGACATTAACATCTTCCGAATGTTTAGATTTGCTCAAGCGTTCCGATTCTCTGGTCGTCTTTCTTGCACTTTGCTCCTTCCTTTCCTTTGCAAGCAATCTATAGTTGATGGCATTGCCAATGAGCAGCCACACGCTTGCTGCTACCACAATAGCCCCACAGGCCATGTACATGTATTTATAATCTCCAGTTATATCCACCAATTTACCTAGAAGACAAAGAGCATCTTTTTAAGTTGGCATCATAAAACAGTCATATAATGATAAAAATTTCAAATAAATTATTCTTCAAAATATATTCCTCTTATTTAAATTAATATCAAATAAGACTGTAAAAATAAAAAAATCTAGATTATGACTTCTATATACACTTAGTAAAGGTATGCAGAGACACTCACAGTATTATATTACCAGTATATTAAATTTACTAAAAATTATTTCTCCCACTAAGATATACAAACAAGACAAGTTAGGTATATATTTTTTGTTAGGTATATATTAATACATACAAGAGTGAGGTATATTTTTATATCTATACATGTAAATACAGATATCTCTATTTACAGTACACATGTTAGGATTGCTTCACCTTTTCCATGCTTCCTTTTCTCTTCAATAGAGAAAAATTACTTTCTTTAGGAGAAACCTAAAGACTTTTACATGGTTCCTAACAGTGTCTAATATTTACTAAGTGCTTTCTCTATGCCCCATACTAGCCTAAGAATTTTATCTGTAATATCTCACTCAATCCTTACAAGGAGTACTGTGAAGTAATCTGGGCATGGTTATGTAGCTCGTTAGTGGTAGAATCTAGACTCTTAATTGAAGTCTGTCTGGACATTCTTAACTACTCTGCAGAATGGCTTCACCTAACCTGTCGGTTAAGTGTAACACTATTTGAGCTAATCCCAGTTTCTTACTTTATCTGAGTCTAAATTATTAAGGGCAAACTAATCAGTAAAAAACTACTTGTTCCATTTGATTATTGAGACCATTTAAAATCTAACCTGGTGCCATTTAATCTAGACGTTTACTGACTTTTAAAATTTTGTCAGCTTATATTTAGTTTTATCTCTTGCTTATGCAGGCATCTAATTCTTAGTAATTATTAACAGCAAAATTTAGTGTATACAAATCTATATAAATGAGCATATGCATTCCAAGTGACTCTGATATACAACTTTCAAACCAGTCTGTTTAGTCAGAATCCATAACATTCTCCCTAGAATCTAGTCGGTGGCTCAACATTAAATTTGGCTACTTGCAATATAGTACCTATTTGAACAAAATTTTCTGTTTTAATCAGGTAGATGGTAGAATGGTTTTAAGTAAGCATGATACATTCATAAACATAACAAAAATTGCATAATTTTCATTTTCCTTCCTAACTTGAGTCAAATATTTCTGTTTCTACAATGATTGTTATACTTCTAAATATAAAAGCATTAGATCCATGGCCCATCAGAGTGAATACCACTTTGGGCTGTCACATCAGCATACTTTCTAAATGTTTTAAGAATTTTTTAGCGTCATCAAGAAACCAGATATGCTTTCCAGAACTAAAGCTTCAATTCTTTCTGAGAGGAGCAGTGAAAGTACAGTCTGAAAAAAACAAATACGAAATAGAAACCACACACTCCCTACTTTTCATTGCTATGCTGCAACTATGTCAGAAATAACAGCAATAATATTCAATCATTCAAAAATATTAACTCAGTGCCTACTATGGGCCAGGCAGTTCTAGCAATAATCAAATACTATAGAGGGGAAGTCAATCTAAAAGTCAAGAAATATTAAGGGTAGCAGATGGCAGATATGGAATGAAAAAATGGATATATAATGGCTACAGTCTGAGAGTTCCAACAATAGGTCTAAAATCAATTACTGCCATTTGCTACCAGTGGCACATGGTTTGGCAATGTTAATGCAATAAGCATTCAAAAATATTGAAACTGTTTTTTTAAAAATATTAACGCACATTATCTGCTCAGGTGGGAGTGGCCACGTAAGATTCCTTTATTTTAATTCTTAGAGTCTATCCCCACAATGTATTTGGACTTGATTCTTTTTTCATCCCCTCATGCATGGTGACTTCTCTGTTAACACTAAGAATTGTGTGGATAATGAATAGGCTCTAAAACTCATTTGATCAAACTAATACTGTATGAAAAGAAGGACCAATCGTGCTTATCTTATGTAACAAAATCAACTGCCTGATAAATAAGAAGACCTACTGGCTTTCACTCTTTATTGACAATTGTTTTGATGTCATGGTATATTTATATTGAGAGATATGCCAACTACCATCAAAAAGTCAATGATGTCATTAAAATTAACAAATTAAACATGAATTTTTACACTTTCAGAATGGTTCCTTGATGTCATGTAGAAAACAGTTTAAAAACTGACTAAATAATGGAAAAATTTACATTTAGCCTGGCAGTGACTCTGACCATGAGAGAGCAGGCCAAGAGTCTAAGTGAATACTTAAGTCGAGTATTAACCAAAACAATATACAGTGGTTGCTGGCAAAGGCTGGTGCACAAACAGAACGTAATATTTATAACATTTAAAGTCTAAGATGAAACGAAGTTTTAACTTCAAAATGCTCTTATACATGTCTTTAAACCATAAGTTCAGAGGGCATAATTTACTCCTTAAAGCATTCACCACTGTAATTCAGAAGGAAACTATAAAATAACCACAAGCAATTCTAACAAAACTCTAATGCTTCCGTGATGACTATTTTATCTATTTCTCTCTCTCTCTCTCTCAAATATCAGACCAGCTTCTCAATTTGTGAGGGTACTCTTTGGTCATGCCCTAAACATGTACTGCATCTTTTTACTGAATAATTTAGCATAGACACTTTTGTTGGCATCTTTGAAAATATTTCAGATTTTAAAATCCGAAGGTAATCTTTCCAATTTATAAACATGGAACATAAGTGGCACCCAAAAAACCTGTGAATAAATTTTCAGTCATCCCTGTCTTTCTCTATATGTAATATATACATGAATATATTCCTATCAGTGATATTATAAATGTATTTTCTCAGCATGTAACAAATTTCAAATTAATATATCTAATGTACTCTATTAAAAAATAGATTCTGGGCCGGGCGCGGTGGCTCAAGCCTGTAATCCCAGCACTCTGGGAGGCCGAGACGGGCGGATCACGAGGTCAGGAAATCAAGACCATCCTGGCTAATACGGTGAAACCCCGTCTCTACAAAAAAAATACAAAAAACTAGCCGGGCGAGGTGGCGGGCGCCTGTAGTCCCAGCTACTCGGGAGGCTGAGGCAGGAGAATGGCGCAAACCCGGGAGGCGGAGCTTGCAGTGAGCTGAGATCCGGCCACTGCACTCCAGCCTGGGCGGCAGCGCCGAGACTCCCTGCTCCAAAAAAAAAAAAAAAAAAAAAAAAAAAAAAAAAAAAAAAAAAAAATAGATTCTGACCTTTTGAGAGAATATTTTACATTTTTGGCTCATTTCAATATAAACAGTTGAAATCATTCACCAATGATAAAGATAAAATATAACATTTCCTGATATATTTTTAAGAGACCAAAACAACTGAAGTAGATAAAAATCCTGAAGATTATGATGCTAATTATCAGTCTAACGTAAACCTAGCCAAGTTCATAGGTCAGGTTCTGAAACAAATTTGAGTCTAAAATTGACTATGAAATTTTAAAGTTTATAGGAAAACCTGAAATTAATTCATAGGTCCAGGTTCTGAAACAAATTTAGGTCTAAAATTGACTATGAAATTTTAAAGTTTATAGTAAAACCTAAAATTAACCTGACCATATTCCTTCAGGCTATCAGTATTATAAAACACATTTAAAAATCTGTATATAGCCAGGCGCGGTGGCTCAAGCCTGTAATCCCAGCACTTTGGGAGGCCGAGGTGGGCGGATCACGAGGTCAGGAGATCGAGACCATCCTGGCTAACATGGTGAAACCCCATCTCTACTAAAAATACAAAAAAAAAAAATTAACTGGGCGTGGTGGCGGACGCCTGTAGTCCCAGCTACTTGGGAGGGTGAGGCAGGAGAATGGCGGGAACCTGGAAGACGGAGCTTGCAGTGAACCTAGATCGCGCCACTGTACTCCAGCTCGGGCAACAGAGCGAGACTCCGTCTCGAGAAAAAAAAAAAAAAAACTGTAAATAAAGTCTCAGTTAATGGTTATTAATTTTATGCTTTATATTTTTCTTGATGAAAAATGTTCTTACCAGCAAGAGGAGGGCCAAGAAGAACTGGGCCACACTCCACAATTGTGACAAGTCCGACGGCACTGGAAAATCTTGGTGCACCCACGAGGTCCATGAGAGTTTCAAAGAGAACACTGCTAACACTCCCAAATCCAAGGCCAAAAAATATAGCATATAATACCAGGCTTGTGTAGTCCTGTGCCAGCGGGCACAAGAGATGACACACTCCATTGAACATGATTGCAAAACTAAAGAAGTACTGAATTCGAGGTCGAATATGTTTGGAGTTTGCAATTAATCCTACAGAAGGCCTAGCAAACATATCAACGAAAGCCATAATAGATAGCAGAAAAGCTGCCGAGTACTCATCAATTCCCTGGTCTTTAGCATATGGAGCCAAGAATATAATAGGGGCAAAAAAACCTAGGAACATAATGACATTTCCAGACAGATATATCAGAAATCCTCTATGCTTAAAAAGGGAGAAATCTAAATACTTATTAACTTTTTCCCAAGTTGATTTCTTCGGTTTGATTTTCTTCTGGCCTGAATCGTCTTCTGATGTGACAGTCTTATTTTTAGACTTAGAAGTGGTTTGACTGGGTCCAAGGGGTCTCATGAGGGACCCAGCCACACAGGCATTCAAAAGTAGACTTCCCAAAATCAGGAAACTTCCTTTCCAGCCAAAAGTATTAAAAAGGTACTGATTGAAAGGAGCCAATGAACTTAAGAAAACAGGACTTCCTGCCATGGCCAATCCATTTGCCATGGGTCGCTTCCTATAGAAGTATTTGCCAATTATTGTTAAGGCGGGTTGCAGGTTGAAGGCTAACCCTAAACCTAAAAAGAACAAAACAAAAGTGGGGGAAAACACAAACATATTATGGCACTCGCAAAAGAAGTTACTCCTCAAAATGTACATTCAAGTGGGAAAGGCAGAATTAAAAATGCAATATGAGATAGTACATTTTGATTATTATAAATGTCATTGAACAAAAATAAAAAGGTTTTCATAACCAAACACTTGAAATGACAGTTTCATATTCCTTTTAAAGCACAAAAATAAAACTAAGAATTTCTACTGATGTATCAACAGTCATACAATAGGTTGAAACTAGGACAAAATTATTAGTTCTCAATGAAAATCATTTAATTACACAGATCCTTTCCTCTTGACATATACTTATATACACATATATGGAATAGATTTCTTCCTTGTGAAGATTTCTTCCTTGTGAGCAAGAGGGCAATATAAAGGTGTGAATACTTTCCTTTTGGCGTTGAAGAATTATAAACAAACTAAAAAGGTCGTAATTTGTAACAATCTTATGTCTCCCCACAAACATTTGTTTCAACACCATGCAAATAACAAAAAGAGTAATGAATGTATGCCATTAATTTCATGCTCTACATCCCTCACATTCCACATTTAATGTATAGAGATGCACATGTGTGCTAACTAAAAAGGAATTTTTTGCTTGAAACGTAGTTTTTAATTCAGGGATTAATGCTGATTGTTTATATGAGCCAAAGTCCCCACTGTCTAGGGAGCTCCTTGGCAGTGTTGAGTGTCACCTTTGGAAAATTAATTACCTCTTGTAGCTCACTAAATTACTACTGAGCGATTGTAATAAATAAGGTCCTTTAAAAAGTACATTGATTGAGGCCGGGTGCGGTGGCTCACGCCTGTAATCCCAGCACTTTGGGAGGCTGGGGCAGATGGATCACGATGTCAGGAGATTGAGACCATCCTGGCCAACATGGTGAAACCTTGTCTCTACTAAAAATACAAAAATTAGCCAGACATGGTGGCAGGTGCCTGTAATCCCAGCTACTCGGGAGGCTGAGGCAAGAGAATTGCTTGAACTGAGGAGGCAGAGATTGCAGTGAGCCGAGATCACACCACTGTACTTCAGTCTGGCAACAGAGCAAGACTGTCTCAAAAGAAAAAAAAAAAAAAAAAAAGTACATTGATTTACATAAAATTGACTTATATAACTATCTGTTGTTTTTCTTTAAACTGGGCATTACTCTATATTTATTTTAGGGGCTAGAGAGGTAAGAGTTCTTCTATATTTACAAATTTACCTAAATTGAAACAGTTCTGTAAAGTGGTTAAGTATTCCAGTTGTGAAATACACAGGTCTGTGTACAATACTCCAACCCTTTAATACAGACATTTTCTATAAGTAAGAGGACCCCTAAAAGCTGACAAGAAGGAAGAAGAACATGCTTTGGAGAGTAACAGAATAGCATGTTCTCTAACACTATACCTCAGCCATACCTGTGAGAAATGCAGAATGAGTGTAATTAAATCCAATTTATAAATAACAAAACTGACCAGCCTGTGGTCAAGTAGCTTGTAAGTGGAAGAACCCAAACTAAAATCCAGGTATTATGGTTCAGAGCTTAAGTTATTTTTTATCTTATATCATTTTCCCCATTCTGTCACCTGGAACTTTTGCCTTCAAATGTTATATTTTCATTTGGAAATAGTTGCCATCTCTTTCTCATTCTGGCATGGTAAAATGAACATAGACCTGAAATAAGTAGAACTGATCTGCTCCAAAAAAGTACCTATTTTATATTACTGGGCAAAACACTTAGACTTCCTCACCTTGACTTCACCTAACAACACAAAAAGATTTTGCCAAAATAAAGTAAGTTCTAGAACTGTAAGATGTTAAATAAATGGCATTGTGATTATTTGCAAACATTTATTTATGAACAGCAAAATTTTGGGTACTCTGTAAAGTACTATGTATTCATTTTTTACATTAATCATTCTAATAACTCCTTTAAAAAGACCTATTATTTATCTAATTTTATAGACAAAGAAACTTAGGTATAAGGAGGTTAACGTACCCATGATCACACAGATAATATGTGTCAAGTCAAGTTTAAATGCTAGATCTGTCTACTTTTGGAAACTGAAGTCAAAGTATTTGCTGATAATGATTTAAAGTAAATCCCTCATAGATGGACTTAATAATTAACTTTGGGGGCATCAAAGTATTTGAGACGCAAAGAATACAATTGTAAGTTGGAACACCAATAATGCCATTTATATCTGCAGTGCAGGAAATAACAAAATCATCTTTTCCCTACTTGTAGGCCCATCCCGACTTCTACAGTCAAATGCAGTGGTCAATTTCTCTACACAAAAGAAAAGGCACTCTCTTCGCTATGACAATGCTTAGATATAAGATGATTTTCATTTATAATATTAAATGCATTTTGTTATACCAAAAAAAGAGAGGGATGTGGATAGATTGTAAAGAGAAAGATTTTAACATCACTATTACTGTAAGCCTCACTACATTTTTTTCATCAAATGATACATGAGTGTAAGATTACACAAGTGTAAATATGTTTGCCTTTTTATCTCTGGGCAGAAAGGAAAGATTCCATCTCTTTATATATTGAAGTCCAATTTTTCCTAATATGTTGAATATAAATTTGTAATGCAATTTTTTATTTAGACTAATAAAAAATAGTGATTTTTGAAGTGTACATATTGTTGTCAGTTTGAGTCAATAGATATGTGCATGAGAAACAACTATAATCAAGTGACCGTAGGTCATTTTTAATATTTGTGTTAGAAGAAAATGTGGCTCACCAAGCTTTTAAACAGGATTATTTCAGTAAGAAAAAGAAGGAACAGAGTCAATGAGCTCTACCACTAATCGGAACAAGCAACAATAATTTTATTGTTGAAGCTAAATCAGTGCATCCAGAAAATATCTCTCTGGCATCATTTTAACATATTACGAGTGGAAAGTCAGATAGATACTGCAAATGGAAATAACTCATGAAAATGAGTTTTATAATAATTAAGGTATTTATTTACATCAGAAAGTCTATGTCCAACAACACCATCTCCATTAGCTGAAAAGTAAAAAGCCAAAAAGCAAAAAAAAAAAAACAAAAAAACAAAAAACTACAGCTGTTTTATTTTAAATTTATGTGATAATATGTAACTTGTCTGATAACTTTTTAAAAATTTTTTTAAAAATGAAATGTTTGGCCATTATATAGCTTGAATTTCAATGTACTAGATGGAAATACTTTAAAATACTAGATGCCTTGTTTAAAAAAAGTAAATTCAAAGAAAACAAGAATTTTCTATTGTTCATTCTTCTCATAGAGTTTTGAAAACAACAGAAGAGTTAAGAATAAACTGAAGGCTAAACGACTTACCTGTAATGAATCCCACAGTGAGGTACAGCTCGATCACGCTGCTACTGAAGGAGGCCAACACCATTCCAAGACAGCATAATAAGCCTCCTGCTATCACCACCGGCCGGCTGCCATATTTATTCACCAAAACACTACTTATAGGACCTAGAGCAGAGAGGAGATAAAGAAATACTCAGTTGCTATTGTCATTTATTTGTTTATCTTTAACATCCAATCATTTGGAAAGGCAAGAAAGCACATTTTAATGGTCAGAGGAGAAATATTAGTTCACATGAAATATAATGAGAACTTTCCAATACTTCACAAATGATCAGTTTGAGAGATTATTTTCAGTCTTATGTATAAAAGCACATGAAATAATAAATTAGAAGTGTTGAACATATATTTTGTCATAACCATAATCATTCAAATGTTGATGGAAAAGTTTTTCAATAGAACATAGCTAAAATATCCAAAATATCTTAACAGATACAGGTAAATTTAGGTAATAAAAAATCGAGGAATTACATAAATGACTTGTCTGTTAAAATTTTATTTTTGAGAATAATATGTGTATACACATACATATGCCATTAATTAGAGCTGAAATTGTTTTTTAAAATTATCTTCAACAATGATTTTTCTTTAATACCATAATTTGTTGTTTCTAGGACACCTATTGTTTTCACATCCTATCATATTAGCAATAAGGATGTCTTACACTTAATGATTTCTTCCAATCTAGGTTCATCAAGAGGCAGTCATGGTAGTAATGTTGTTATCATGGACCCTGCATGTTTGAATTTGCTTATTATTTCCTGTGGCTCGATTGGACAATGCTTAATCACATTTCAATAGAACCTTTTAAGGAGCATTTGAAAAACGAATATAAACATGAATCCTGATTTTTGCCTGAAAGATCTTCTGTTGACACATTCTAGTAAGGTAGAATAAATAGCAACATCAAAACTTAAAGATTGGGTGCAGCTCTTTGGATGAAATTACTAGAAAAAATGGTGGATCTCACTGTTAAAATATATTGCACACTGACAAAGAGAATAAGCTTAGGTGTGAGATGTGAATGTTGAAAACTCAGACTCCAAAGTAATTTAGAAGAGTCAGATAGTGAAAGGGAAGAAGGTTTAAGAATGTCTTACCAATTTTTTAATGCATATTTTTCATTGTATGTCTGTGTATGCATATACATAAAATACTCACAAGTGATTAAAATTATTAAAATAATCTGCATTTAAGTCTAAAAAAGTTCTTTTGGTAGTTATAAAAATTCTAAATGTTGAGAAACTGTGTTTTACTTCAGTGACAGCATTATTTTCTTTCTTGGTATACTATAAAATAACAGTGCAACTTAACAATTCAGACTATCTTAGACTCAATGAAATTCCATAGTATTTTATGGGACTTGTCAATGTATAAATGGCTTGCTTTGACATTTCATTCTTAAAATAAAATTGTATTTCATCTGAAACTAGGGTCACTATTTGGAGGAAATAAATACTATGTTAGGTCAGAATTTTCAATCAAATATTTGGCCTAAAAATTTTTTAGCTAATACTATGGTGTTAAAAATTTCCAAGTGTATTGGAGAATTTTTACATGGATCATATATAAAACACATTGAGATTCATTTATCAATGCACCCATATCCTTTTATACAAATAAAACTATGATTTTTATTCTGCAAAAAAATGTAAAATTAAACTTCAATGCCTAATACTATTTATTACTCCACAATATCTTTTGAAAGAATATTAGTAATAACACACAATTTCAGAAAGAGATAACTTAAACACAGAATACAAAAGTTTGCATTTATAATAGCAATCAACATAAAACTCTAAAAAGGCCACATGAAAGCTCTATAAAAACAACAGGGTTTGGAGGGAAGAAATCAATGTAAATTGTACCACTTGTATAAAAAGAATATAATTATGTCCCTAACATGGTAAAGTTCACCTGAAGAGCTGAAGAAAATTAATAATTATACATGTAGAGAATATATATAACACATATTATATAAGATACACCCCAGAGACATTGCAGGTGAGGTTCCAGAGAACCTTGATAAAACAAATATTGCAATAAAGTGAGTCACAAATTTTTTGGTTTCTCAGTGCATATAAAAGTTATGTTTACACTTTACACACTATATTAAGTGTGCAAAGAATTATATCCAAAAAGTGCACATAACTTAATTAAAAATATTTTATTGCTAAAACATTTAATGATCATCTGAGCCTTCAGTGACTTTCAGTCTTTTTCTAGTGGAGGGTCCTGTCTTGATGTTGATGGCTGCTGACTGATCGGTGTGGCAGTTGCTAAAGGCTGGAGTAGCTGTGGCAATCTTGTTGTTGTTGTTGTTGAGACAGGGTCTTGCTCTGTCACCCAGGCTGGAGTGCAGTGAATTGATCATGGCTCAGTGAGGCCTTGACTCGAGACCCTCTTAACTAAGTCTCCCTAGTACCTGGGAACACAGGTGTGTGCCACCACGCCTGGCTATTCTTTTTAATTTGTTTTTCGTAGAGATGGGGCCTTGCTATGTTGCCCAGGCTGGTCTTGAATTCCTGGGCTCAAGTGATACTACCACCTCAGCCTCCCCAAATGCTGGGATTATAGGTGTGAGCCATTGTACCTCGCTGGCAATTGCTTAAAGTAAGATGAACAGGTTTGCTGCATCAGTTGACTCTTCCTTTCATGCAAGATTTCTTTGTAGCATGTGATGTCATTTGACACCATTTTACCCACAGCAGAACTTTCAAAATTTGAGTCAATTCTCTCAGACCTTGCCACTGCTTTATCAACTAAGTTTATGTAATATTCCAAATCTTTTCCAGTTATATCAACAATATTTACAGCATTTCCTTCAGGAGTAAATGATATTTCAAGAAACCACTTTCTTGGCTCATCCATAAGAAACAACTCTTCCTTGATTCAAATTTTATAAGACTGCAGCAATCTAGTCACATCTTCAGGCTCCACTTCTAATTCTAGTTCTCTTGCCATTTCTACAACATCTGCAATTACTTACTTCACTGAAGTCCTGAACCTCTTAAAGTCACGCATGAGGATTGAAATCAACTTCTTCCAAACTCCTGTTAGTGTTGGTATTTTGACCTCCCATAAATAATGAATGATTGTAATGTTATCTAGAACGGCAAATCCTTTCCAGAAAGTTTTCCATCTCCTTTTCCCAGATCCATCAGAGGAATCATTATGTATGGCAGCTGTTAGCTTACAAAATGTATCTAAATTTTAAGAATTAAAAGTTGAAATGACTCCTTGATCCATAAGCTACAGAATGAATGTTGTATTATCAGGCATGAAAACAATATTAACTTCCTTGTACATCTCTATCAGAACTCTTGGGTGGCCCAGGTACATTGTCAGTAAGCAGTAATATTTTGAAAGGAACTTTTCTTCTTAGCAGCAGGTCTCAACAGTGGGCTTAAAATATTCAGCAAACTATGCTGTAAACAAATGTGCTATTATACAGACTTTGCTATTCCATTTATAAAACACAGGCAGAACAGATTTGGCATAATTATTAAGGGCCCCCGAATTTTCAGAATAGTAAATGAGCTTTGTTTCAACTTAAAGTCGCCAGTTTCATTGGCCCCTAACAAGAGAGTCAGCTTGTCCTTTGAAGCTTTGAAGACAAGCATTGACTTCTGCTCTCTACCTGTAAAAGTCCTAGATAGCATCTCCTCCCAATAGAAGGCTATTTCATCAACACTGACAATCTGTTGTTCAGTGTAGTTACCTTCATCAATGATTTTAGCCAGATCTTCAGGATAATGCTGCAGTTTCTAATCAGCATTTGTTGCATCACCTTTCACTTTTATGTTAGCAAGATGGTTTCTTTCCTTAAACCTCATGAATCAACATTTACTAGCTTCAAACTATTCTTCTGCAGGTTCCTTACCTTCAATAGAATTGAAGACAGTTAGGGCCCTGCTCTGGGTTAGGCTCTGGCTTAGGGAATGTTGTGGGTGGTTTGATCTTGTATCTAAACTTCTAAAACTTTCTTCACTTTTCCTTTGCATTCACAACTTGGCTAACTTTAGTGCTAGAGACCTAGCTTTCAGGCTGTGCTTTCAGCGCCTTTCTCATAAAGGTGAATCATTTCTAGCTTTTGATTTAAAATGAGAGACTTGCGACTATTCCTTTCACTTGAACACTTAGAGGCCACTGTAGGTTTATTAAGTGGCCTAATTTCAATACTGTTTTATCTCAGACAATAGAGAGGCCCTAGAAGAGAGGAAGAGATAGCAGAACAGCTGGTCTATGGAGCAGTGAGAACACACACAACATTAAACTTACCCTCTTATATGGGCACAGTTCATGGCACCCAAAAACAATTACAATAGCAACATCAAAGATAACCATAACAGATATAATAAGACTTTGAAATACTGTGAGAAAATCACCAAAATGTGACACAAGACACAAAGTCAGCACATGCTGTCAGGAAAAATAGTGCCAACAGAGTTTCTGAAGGCAAGGTTGCCACAAACCTTTAATTTGTAATTAATGCCTTATTTGCTAAGTGCAATGAAGTGAGGTGCAATAAGTAGAAGTATACCTGTATTCCAATTTTTTTGACTTTTTGCCTCTAAATGATAAAAGGGCAGTATAGCTATTTTCATTTCTTAAGTTTTGGTAAATGTTTTTGATATGTTTCTCAGAAATGCTAACTTTATTGACTAGAAATAATCTTTTTGTTAATCAGATGGTTTCCAATTTTCTGCTTTTCACAATATTGAGGACAATTCAAATGAATTGTCAGCCCACAGATCATTACAAATAACATTTGATAATAAATCATTATGTGATTTTTGGCAAGTTCAAATAATTGACTAATACTGAAAATAAAATACTTTCCACTGTCATCTACTTTATTATGTGAACAAGTTACTCAGCATGTACCTCAATTAAAAACCAAGAAAGAAATACAATGGAGACAAAAACCTGTATCTGCTTAGCTAGCACTAAAAAATATTCATCTATAGATACACAGTATGGCTATTGATTTCATTAAAAGACACATTTCGAGTCAAATGTTTACATTTTATTTAGTAATTATCTTATTTTGATTGGAATCTGCTATAACAGTATTATAATAGAATATTTTAACCATGTAGTATCTT